ACAGGGTTACCAAACCCTAGGGACGTATAAGTTATATATTTATAATTAATTCCCACTCCAAAGTCCATAAAAACCCTAAACTTAAAACCCAATTAATTATGTCGGCAAGCCCATAAAAATACTAAAACCCTAAAAGATAATTCATACACTTAATCTAATTAAACAGTTACGTCCATGCAAGAAAAAAAATTAATAATACAATTAAAGTAACTACAGCAACCAAAATTAAAGTAACTACAACAACCAAAAATACAATTAATTTAATTAAAATATATTTAACCAAATAAAGCAATTCAAATACAGGGCTAACAGTTTAAAACAAATAAAACAATTAAACATTTAAGCAACTAGTCACATAAAAATGCAATAAAGATAATTGAAATTCCAATTTTATCCTTTTTAAAATTAGGGGTATTACAGCTCTCTTGTTTTAGTGCGTTCTGGAGTTATTTGGGTACTGTTTGGACAAGTTGAGGTTCCCAAATTGTTTTTGGAGATTAAGAAGGTTCTAAATATTAATTCATGATGTATTAAAACCCTAGTATTCATAATTTAGTTATATGCTAAAGATTTTGAATAGTATAAAAGTTTAAAACAAGTTGCATGCTGTTAACGGATAGAGAGAATTTAATTGCTAAATTTGATGTAGCAATTTAAATGACTGATATATGATTTTTAAATCTATATTAGATGCATAATAGGGTCATGTATTTGTTAGACTTTATTTGTGCTTAGGTTGGATTTTTAATTAATGAACTATTAAATTATGTTTCGTTAATTAAATGGATGTTGATCTGGATTTTTATTGTTGAACTGCTTTAGCTATTTCATCAATTATTGGTTGAATTTGTAGATAAAATAAGCATGTTGATTCATATAATTTCTATTATGCTTATTAGGAGTTAATTGATGTTTACATACTTTATATGTGTTATCAATTATACGAACACTGTTGGAGTAGTATCAAGTGAGTATGTTAACTTCTACATTTTGTTATGCTTATTATGGAACAATTGATGTTTATATTTAATATTTTTATTATCAATTGTTGGATTTATGGATTAGTTGATATTTACATTCATGGTCAGTATTATCAACTACTAGATGTATGGATTGCATGCACCGGTATGGGACGGTGGCATACTAGGGACGGATTAGTTTCAAAATACTAGATCCTACCCATTCTGGAATAAAGGAATGGATTATAAAATAAATCCTATTTATATTTAAGTCAAATCAGCTGTATAAAGTTGCATGACTTACTGGATTACTTGTTATTTATATTTAAGTCAGATTAGCTGCATAAAGTTGAGTGACTTACTCGATGATTGGTTATTTGTGGTTAAGTCTGATCAATTGAATAAGTTGAGTGACTAACTGGATTAGTTAATCTTATGTCCGATCAATGAACAATTTAATGACATACTGTGGTTTTGGACAGACTTTAAATATATATTTATGGTACCACGATATGAGCTTGAGTCTCAAAGTCGATGGTTAGGGTGCATATATGCAGTAGGATGTGTAGTTGGCTATGATAGGTTAAGGTGTACCCTGTTAGGCTTAGGTACTCATGCCCACTCAGGTGTGTTTTACATGTTGCCTTTTATTCGGGTTGAGACCCCCTATATAGTCCAGTGAATATCCCTGAGTGTGGATATATATATGTATGAACTAGATAGATATTGTTAAGATAGCTAGGATGTATCTGCGTATCAGGTCTCTGTTTGGATTGTCGCTAGGATAGAACTTGTTCGTGGGCCTGACCCACTATTATTTTTTAGGTATCGGATGGTTCCAATCTTAGAGCTTGTTCGTGCTGAGCATAGACGGTCACTCATTCTTCCGACTGCATAGGACTACTATTTATGGTTTTGGTTTTCTTTTTAGTTTTGTTTATCTTCAGTTGGGTTTTGAATAGGGGTCCACCAGATGGATTCCCGAGTTGTATTTGTCTTGGAGGTTTTGGATGTACCAGAATAGTTTTTATATATAAAAGTTTACTCTCAGGTTTTCATTAAAGGATTAGCGTTTTAGTTTTCTTTCAGCAATTTTATTTATTTCCTATTTATCATAATTGTATTCTATGTTCGATTATTGCCATTTATTTTTTATATCCTCAGGTGTTCGGGCATGGGCCTGGCCAACCCGTATCTGAGAATTCGGGGGTATCACAATTATACCTCTCCCATGTATCATGGAGCTATTCTCCCGGGATTTGGGAAAATGCCATGATTTTTCTCCTCATTTGTGTGGTTTTACCCACAGTGTAATATTTCTTCAAAAACTCCTATTGCAACATGTCCCATGAAGATATGGAATTTGTTGGAAGGGACTGTACCCAAGTTCTTGCTTTTTCTTTGAGAGAAAACTGGAAAAGACGCATTCTGAATGAGTCATTAGATAGAGTAGTCAACTTGGTAGTTGAACGCAATTCCAAAAACACATCCAAGTGCTTATAAGGATCCTCTGTTGCATACCCATGGAAGGTAGGAAGCATTTGGATTATAGCAGGCTTGATCTCATAATGGGTTGCATTAGCATCCTGAACAATAAAACACGAAGGGGAAGTATATGTGCTAGGAATGAAATGATCCCTCAATTGTGGTTGTGGTGGAAGAACAGGTGGAACCCGTTCTCCATTACCATTACCATTATTACCCGATGCATCACGTTGCTTAGCCATACTTTCAGAGGAACTATCAATATTATTTAAGTGTTTTTTAAGTTTCCTTAATTGACTTAAAGTTCTCTCTATTTCTGGATCATGCACTAAAGGTTTTGACCTAGTTTGGCGAGTTAACATGCACTGGTTCCACTAATCCTAATAGTAACAAAAAGAAAATATTCCAAGTAACAGAAAAACAATAAGAACTCACAAAAGGTTTTAATAAACCGAAGCTTTTCTCCCTTAAGCATCTTTGTCCTCACCGTTAATTTTTACCTAAAAAGAAAAAGAATTAAGATGAGATATCAGAAAGTCCGAAGACTGGAAAACCAAAATAACTAATTAAAAGCTAAACAAAAACAATCTCCCCAGCAATGGCGCCAAAAATTGATGTGTCTCTCACAATCGTACGATATCATGTAGGATATAGCTCTATGCAAAGAGGATGCCGAACCCACAGAGAGATGGAATTGTATTAGCCTTTAAATTAATTTCATGGTTTACAGAAAACTTGGTTGGAGAGTTTATTAGTTGTCACGATTTAACACACTTAAATTAAACAAAATATTAAATTAAAACAAATTAAACTAAATTGAATGATCAGAGAGGGAAAATCTTTAGGCTTTGACTTCACCACAATCGTTATACTATGGTCAATTGAATCAACTCTGGGACTTCAACCAATTATGTTTTCAAATGAACTGAACTCAATAATATTCGTTTAGTTCAGAATTTAAAGAAAGATGTTTTACAAAATTAGCTAACTATAACCTATCTGAGGTCAGCGTGGATTATTTGCCTACCTACTCTACCTAATTTAAATACTGTGCAAATGAACCACCTTTCGTAAGCATAGATTATGAAAATGTTCTTTTGCAAAACACGTTAGAACACCATTATATGACCTCTATTCTTGTGTTTGGCAGGGCTCCGCCAGATACCGTACAACAAGGTAGGTTGAGAATATAACATAAATTATTATATCTAAGACAAAGTAATAACAATTTATATTGTACTAAAGCATGAAAAACCACCTGAGTTGTCTCAAGTGCTCATAATCATATAATCAAGAAAACATTATATATTAAAATAAACCCATAGTCAAAACAATCAAACCACAAAATAACGTTGGGTTACATCAACGCCCTAAGAAAAGGATTAGCTACTCATGACAAGGTTGGATAGCATCTGTATTGAGTTCATCTCCATCATCATGGACGGCACCTCTCTTCTCAGGATCTTCACTTTCAAGGTTGTAGGAACCCTAAAAGCCATCACACCTTTAGCCTTTTGAATAACACCGTAAAAGAGATTGAAATTTTAGATCCCTTTTATCAAGGATCACGCCTTCTTTTATAGAAGAAAATATGTATTTGGTGGGTTTTTAGGTCTTCTGGCCCAATTGGGATGAGATACTGTTGGTAAAGAAAGTAATCCCGCAGCTTCATGGAATGCTCGAGCTTCAGGAACGTATGCTTGAGCTTTAGGGCTCATGCTCGAGCTTCAGGAACAAATGCTCGAGCATTTATGGATGGATGCTCGAGCTTCAGTGAATGGTGCTCAATCATCAGATTGACACTTAGCTAATTTTCTTTAACTATATTCCGAAGCGTCTTTTCTTCAACACTTGGAATATTTTTGGGATTGAACTCCTTTAACATTGCTCGATCTAAGCTTCATAGGCTCGAGCACTAGGTACCATGATCGAGCATCTGGGACTCAATGCTCGAGCATCAGTGGATGATGCTCAATCCTTTATGGATAGTGCTCAATCATGGAGGTGATGCACGAGACCTGGGAGCATAGTCTTTAATTAAAACACTACAACATATTAGTCTTTTACCAGCACTATTGGGAAGAGTGCTGGTATAGGTGATACAGTACCAACGCTTCTTGTGAAGCGCTGGTGTAGGTGTTACAGTACCAGCGCTTTAAGGAAAAGCGCTGGTATTGGTGTTACAGTACCAGCGCTTTTATTAAAGCGCTAGTGTAGGTGTTACAGTACCAGCGCTTTAACGAAAAACGCTGGTATTGGTGTTATAGTACCAGTGCTTCAATAGAAGCGGAAACGCTAGTGTTGGTGAGTACCAGCGCTTTAAGGGAAAGCGTTGGTATTGGTATTATAGTACCAGTGCTTTAAAAAAACAAGCGCTGGTATTGGTGTTACAATACCAGCGCTTTAACGAAAAGCGCTGGTATAAGTCCCTTCTATTCCCTCTAATTTTTTCTCCTTCCTTCCAATTTTTCTCTTCCCTTCACTTTTTCCCTCCGCTTATTTTATCTAAACTGCGTCGTTTTCTTTTGTTCCATTAAAACACTATACACTTTCCCATTTCATTTGATTTAGCCCTAATTTATCCATCTCCCTTTTTGGTTCGTCCCTCAGCCTTCTCTTCCTCTCTGCTATCTCGATCTGCTCCGTCTCGATCTCTCACGCTCGATCTCTCACGCTCGATCGCCATTACTTTAGCTCATCGTAGGCTCTCTCTCTCTCATCCCTCTCTCTGCACCACCATTTCTCAGCTGAAGCACTTCTTCCACCTGCGTTTCAGAGGTCGTTTTTCCATCTGAAAAACCTCCATCTAATCGATCTCAATCTCCGATTTCCTTATGAGGTAACTCTCTTCATCCTGCCCGTCCCGTCCTTTCTGTTTCAAAGATTTATCCGGCGATAAACAAGACGGATCCCCTAGTTCAGTCACTAAGTCAATAGTGCATCCGGTGAACATCATATTCCCCTTCCCTAACTGGTGTAGCAAGTGAACCCCCAATTAACGAAAGTACCTCAATTTAGGGATTCTCTCTCTTCCCCTTACAGATCCTACTCATCCTCTCTCTCTTGGTGGTAAGTACCCCCTTTCTCTTGAAGCTTTCTCTTTGTCGATATATATATATATTTAGGGAAATCTCCATAACTAAAATAATCTTTATGTTTTTCTGATTTTTGGTTTATGATTCTTATTATGGTTCTGATTGAAATATTTTTTTCAGTCTATTATATCCATTGACTTCAAAGCCTCAATTGCGATCGCTTCACATTTCAGGTAGATCTATCTATTTTTGTAGCTTTTACAAATTGGGTTTCCAGATTTTAGTTGTTTTGTGTTGCCGGGAAAATTATTGTTCTTAGTTTCGTCAATAAAATTATCAATCAAAATCCAGGTCGAGGTTGGAGGATTTGGATCTTTGATTTCAACCGCTGAATTCAAAAAAGGTTCAAAATTTATTCATATCTATTTGTAATTCGCCTCCATATATATATACATGCAAATTTTTTTTAGGGTTTATTAATTTTATATTCTGTGTATAAAATTTTTTCCCCTCTTCAGACATGCGTTGATGAATATATGCTGAAGTTTCGTGCTTTTCTGGGTTATACTTATTCATTATATTTGGAATGTATTTCTTTCATGATTAGAATTAGTGCATCGTGCAATCATCAATGTCGACAAAAACGGATGAATATAAAATTACTCTCCATGGTGGGATAAAATTTCTAACTACATGATTTTTGATTGTTATTATAGGGCCGACCACTGATTTTATTCTATATTACTGTTATTGTGCCTTAAGTACTGTATATTCCTTGATTATTTTATAATTTGTTGTAACTCTTAGTTGAGATTAATTTGCTATAAAAAGGAAAATCTGAATTTAAAATGTTTTTCAGAATTTGTTACCACCACACTTTTCCTTGGAAAAACCAATCATGTTATCCTAAACCAACCAAATGCAAACAACACTGAGAATTTAAAATGTTTTTCATCCACATATATGTCGACCAAAGGGAACTTAGCTAAGTTTGTGGGGTTTGCAGGTTGTGGCGAAAGCTAAACCGTCCATTATTATATTATACACCAAGATATATGGCCGAATATTTGGAGGAAACTGACCACCTAATTTCCTTTCTCCTGTAGCTATATGTGCAAATTCCCACTTTATTTTTTAAATCAAAATTGAAGGAACAAAAGTTATTGAGGTATGAGAAATTGTTTACTAGGCATGTGTGTGTGAGAGGAGAGTACCAACTAAGAAAAAATAATGATTAGCAAAGTCATTGTAAGGTTAGCGTAGCACGGTAATAGAAGTGTTATCATAGTATCTTGAAGAAGTGGAGGTGGAGCTAGACGTTCAAATAGAAGTATAAAAGATACTATTTATGGTAAACAAAATGATCTCAAACAAATTGGCAAACTTAAATTTGAGTAAGAATATTTTGAAAATAGAGGGAATAGGAAAAAAAGGAAGAAAATAACACTTTTGGTCGGCACATTAATACAATCCAGAACATCTATATCTTTTATCTAATCTGAGGCATGCAGATAAACCTATAATGGCACATTAATACAATCTAGAATATCTACGTCTTTTATCTAATATGATAAACCAATAATGGCACATTAATACAGTCTAAAATATCTACATCTTTTATCTAATCTGAGGCATGCAGATAAACCTACATAATGGCCAATTGACCAACTTAAACTAAATGACCATAAAGCACTGAAAATTTAATCTAAACTAGGACAGGTGTAGCTAATATAACAAGAAGCCCAAAATATCTTCAAGGGGCTGTATCACCTCAAGATATTATAGACAGGTCGGTAATTAAATAATCATTGTGCAAGTCCTAGAGCTGATACTTTACAATCTCATGAGATTAAAGAAACCTTTACTGTCCTAAAAGTCATATGTGGGGTACAAGAACTACTTTGTGCAAATTAAAAACTCAATGATTACTAATTTACTCTTCATAGAATATACCACAACAGAGACATATATCTGATAGTGACCACAAAAATTTAAAACCCATAAAAAATCATCCCTTTTCAGTCCCTGCATTTAACTTGCACATGAAGAAGTATGACTTGAAATGGTAATTGCACATTAAGAATTATGACTTTGAAAAGGTGAGCAGATAATGATTTTTGCACTTTTTCCCTTTTAAACTAGAGCCCACCAACATCGTCTCCTTCAAACCTAATTATAGTTTTTCTTCTATAAATATACCTTCAATGCCTTCATCAATTCTTACAAATCCCTCTCTTATCTCTTCAAAACACCAAGAAAAAAGAGAATGGCTTTGACATTTCCTTCTTCATCTTCTTTCATCAATTTAAAAGATACCAAAACTTTCAAAACTCCCGATGACTTCTCCGGCATGGTTTGTTTTGAACAAACCAAGCCATCATGCCGTCTTCGAGCAAAGATTTCAACTGAATTGTTGATCTTGCTCAACTATATATCTATTGTCCATTAGCTATTTTATTCATCGATTCTCAATGGCATTACAGATTGGCTTGTAATCGGTTGCATTGGATCCAACTTAATACTTTGACCTGGAACAAGAGTCAATAATTACCACTGTGTCATAGTTATTAAATTGCCCGTGCTGATGTTTAGATGTTGTGTTGAATTACAATTTTATTGTCTTTTTTTAACAATTTGATTGCATTCTCTTAACTGAATTCTCACTTTTTTGCTTGCTTTTCTAGGAAGGATAAATAATAAGTTGACAATGAAATGAATGGTTAGTGAAGTGGAAAAAGTGAGTGAACAAAATACCGAAGCTTCAACTTCAAAATCATCCCAACCACCGCCGAAGAAGAGACGGGGTTCGACACGAATGTCATAGACGCGAAAACCTTATTACCTTTAAGGTACATATATATATAGATCATCTTATATAGTTTACATAATTAGACTATATTCAATATGAAGGAGAAAAAAGGATTTCTATTTTTATTTTTGTACTAAACATCTACAATTGTTAATTTTTGTTAGGGTTAATAAGTTTGGACAGCCGATCGGTCCTGGGAGTGGTACATATACTAATTATCTGGGAACACTTGCCCGGAAGGGTGAATTAGCTCCTTTGTGCTACAAAACTTGGTGGGAGATGCCTAAACGGCTGAATGAGGATATGTGGAACATTGTAAAGGTAAACCCTTCATTAACATTAAGATAATTTTTATGGAAAAAGTGGACTAACATACAACAATTATCACATTTTCAGGGAAAATATGATGTGGGAATCATGACAAAACAGTGGACAATATCCTCCATCGGAAAAAAATGGAGGGGGTACAAGTGTGAGTTGAAAAATGAATACTACTCAGTTAGGGATACAGATGAAGAAAGATTGGCAAACCCACCACCTAATGTTGAAAAGGAGCATTGGGAATTTTTGGTTAAGCGTTGGGGTACGCCTATGGCAAAGGTAATCCTCCATCTATCACAATGTTTTTTGAAGTCAATGAGTTGAATTTTTAGTTTACCTGCTTTCAGTCATTATTTTAGGTGGAATGTTCTTTACTCAAAGAACTTTTACTTTTTCTCACTTTTTGTAGGAGGTCAGCAAAAAAAATAAAGAACGTCGTGGGAAGCAGACAATGATGCATACTACAGGGACAAAAAGCTTTGCACGTGTTTCTGCTGAGGTTAGTTGAAGTTTTTATGGAAAATATAAATTATTTCAATTCTTATGTCGTTGAATGATTATAAATGTTAGTGGTAAATAATTTATATCACAATATATTCTTTTATAGATTGAGGAAGACGAAGGTATTCAGCTTTCTCGTGCAGATTTATTCATCCGCACGCATGTAAATAAGGATGGCAAAGCTACTGATGCTGCTGCTTCGGAGATGATTGTAAGTTTTCACGCTTCCATTTTGCAAAAAGGGGGTCATGTGCCTTGAAGTGACCAATTTTTAAACTCTTTACGCTGTATTAGGGGGTCACGTGCCTTGAAGTGACCAATTTTTAAATCTTCGGCCCGTGTGGAGGCAATTTACTTTCTTGTATTTGTTGAAAAGTATGGGAGTATGGGATCATTGTATGTGGAGGCTTCTTGTTGATTGATTTGTGTTGTGGAGAAGAAGTATTTGCTATTTGTTGTTTGTTGTTTGTTGTTTGTGTTAATTTGTTACTCATATATTGTGGCAATAGTCTTTTGAATGTAGACAACTTCAAATATTATATACAAGCTATGTAAAGGGCCACTAAACACTTGTTCATGATGATCATTGTAATTATTGTGATAAACTATCAACTCTACAAGCTTTCAACACTTGAATCAGTCTTCTGCACTTGAAATCTCCACCCCACATAAGCTAGAAGAGTAAGTTTGAAAGCCTCCACATCCCGGAAACCCAACCCACCGCATTACTTAGGTTTCACCATACAATCCCAACTAATTCAATGAGTTTTAAACTTTTCCTCCCAAACAACACACCAAAACTGAAACCATTGTTTCTTCAACCTGTCATAAAAAAATTTCGAGAGCTTAAAGTAAGATATTGCATAAGAGGGTAAGCATAGCTTTTAACACCTTTCTACTGCTAGGCGACAAAAAAATTTCCTTTCCATCCCCTTATTTTCTTTGCAATATTATCTTCAATAAAACTAAATACCTCCCTGCCCAAATACTTCTCTTGGCCCCACTCTTTAAGGATATTAAGTAAATCCCTCAACAAACAAGTTTTTTGAAGATGGAAATCTGAGTTGATAGTTTATCACAATATTTCCATCTTCAAAAAGCTTGGCATGTTGATAAAAATTGTTTCAGATTCAATCTCTGCAGATTTCTAATCCAATTCAGATTCTTTTTTTTTTTTTTTTTTTTTTTTTTCAGTTCTGAAAAGATTTCCATCTTCAAAAAACTTGGCGTGTTGGTAAAAATTGTTTCAGATTCAATCTCTGCAGATTTCTAATCCAATTCAGATTCCTTTTTTTTTTTTCTTTTCAGTTCTGAAAAGATTTCCATCTTCAAAAAGCTTGGCATGTTGATAAAAATTGTTTCAGATTCAATCTCTGCAGATTTCTAATCCAATTCAGATTCTTTTTTTTTTTTTTTTTCAGTTCTGAAACGATTTCCATCTTCAAAAAACTAATTAAGAAATTGTTATCACTCACCCAATCAAGTAATTATTGATATATGCTGCGTTGCTACAGTGAGAAATTGGTAATCTTTATTTTATTTTATTATTATTATTTTTCCGGTAAGTAAGGATTAAATAAAAAAGAAAAAAACCGTTTAGTATTACAAGGGGCATTCCACAGGCCCACAACACTCGACAACAGATCAGACCATTGGACAGGGCACAACCCAAAACAAAGCTTACAGAGGAGTTAACCAAAACAAAAGAGAGACATCTCCTAAAACACCACGCCCAAACAGAAATTGGTAATCTTTACACGAGACTGTCCAAATTCATAGATGAAACTTGAAAATGCTGTCTCAGGTTCATTAAATGTCCAAGCATGAGAAGATGCGCATTATCATATCAGCTGAGATAGTAATTTTCCTCCTCTATTTTTGTTTTTTCTTTTCTTTTATTGAAAACAATTATGATTAGAGAAGTAAAATCTCTCTCTTCTTTTTGAATCTATTTTAGCTTTTAAGAGCATTTTGCTAATCGGAGCCTTCATTTTAATTATATGCAAAATTTTATATTTGATTTATACAGAACATATAATGTCAATCAATTAGCTGATAAAATTATGGAGATCAGATTAACTTTATAACTTATGCCAAATAAACAATAGATTGGAATTTAAGATAATCAACAAAGCTTAACAAAACAATGATAAGTAACTAAAGCCATTACCTTGCCATGGGATATGCGCTGAAGGTTATAGATTGGATGCAAACCGAACTTTATGCATATTATTCCAAAAGTGCGTGTCCCACATACTTGAACCCTTGTTTTCATGCTTGATTGAATAAGCATTCACTAGGACACAATTTTTGCCTAGTGAATCTTAGCAGTACTTAATTCCAAAGTATTTAGTAGTAATTATTACCAACCCATTAATAAAGCAAAAGAACATATATTTAAAGAAGTATAAATTAGAACAGTAACAAGTGTGCATGCAATAATATCATGATGGGTATCATAAGTTACATGCTTGTAGTTTGTATTCACTTCCATTGTGTCAAGTTTTTGGCTAGGCAAATCCTACTTAAATTATGCAATTATTTTAAATACCAGAAAAAAAGAAAAAAAAAAAAAGATAGAAAGTATGGATGGACTCCTATGATAAGGAGAACTCCTTCTAAGAGGACAACCACGGGGCACTGTTCGTGTTCATGCAACAATCAAAACGTTTACAACGTAAATTATTGTTCGTTTACAACGTTTACAACCACGGGGCACTGTTCGTGTTCATGCAACAATCAAAACGTTGTAAACTTGTAATTATTGTTGATTTTGCTTGTTTTGGGACAGTTCTCCCATTGTATTCAATATAATCTCATCAAGCATGGCAATTTGTACGGAAATTATAGATAACAACAAGTTGTATTAAATAATTGAATCCTAGATATAAACGTTTTATAATATATGAAATAATTTCTTGGTGGTTTGTAGTTGGTTTGCATCAGTATTCACTGCCGGCTCAAATACTTAAGGAGCAATTATCAAATGATGTACAATTTTCACACACATTTTTGAACACATAGTTTTTTATTGGCGTATTATATGTGCTGTTGCATTGAGATTGGTGATTGAATATGATTTACCATTAAAAAAGTGTTGGATTAAGTAATCGGACAATATGGTACTTGTCCAAGGGGATTAATCAACGATTTAGGAACCTTTATTGACTAATTTTTTATTCGGATTACTTTTATTTGGTAAGATTGGGACTACGTGTATCGAAATGGAATTTAAAAAAAAAAATCCAAATTAGTATGTAGCTAAAATGAAATTGAAAGTGTTTAAATGTTTAGGCATCAAAAAAAATATATTTTTATTTATTTATTTTTGTTACTCTTTTATCATTGGACATGGTGCATATTAGGTTGTCGTTCCTTATCAAAACCAACACTTAAATACGATTCTGAACTAGAGAAAATTTTTAGGCGAATTAAAAAACCTAAAAAAGAATTCTAATTTGTTAAGAGAATCTTTTCAGAACTGAAAACAAGACTAATAGATTGCTTTCGTGTCCATCCTTTAATTAGATTCACGCCCCTCACAACTTTTGCCTAGTGAATCTAATTAAATAAAAGACATAGAATTATGTGTCCTATAATAATAATTGCACACCAAGTCTTTTGTCCAATTACCTATATAAGATTCTTCAATTAGATGGGACATTCAAATTTAGATATAAACAACAGTACTCATAAGTTGGCAATTTCTTTAATCATATTGTATACTTTAGCACAATGTTTGGTACCTCAAAAGACTACTAATTTGATTTTTCCTCTTCTATAATGACTCGATTACATTTTTTATTAAGTGTATACAGCACAATGTATTAAAAGAACTACTAATTTAATAAAAATTTGATTTTTTTTTTTCTCTATTTACTTCATTTAAATCCTTTTGTTTTTGTCATGAAAGCTTAGGTATATATATATTATACATGCACATGTATATTTAAGCATTACATGTTTATAGCTTGTTGGGATTTCAGTTCTTTTGTGCTTTATTTAGAATCTAGGGTTTTCAATTCTGGATGTTTCATAATAGTATGTCATGGTAGTTCAAACTTTTTTTTTGTTTTTTTTTGGCAGGAAAACATAAGAGAACTTCAAAAAAGTTACTCTGACTCGCCTATTGGCAGCTCCAATGATTTGTTCTCCATTGTGAGAGGAGAAGAGAGAACTGGTCGTGTGCGGATGCTTGGCTTTGGGCCTACACCAAGCGATGTTTGGGGGCCTCTCCTACTAAAACTGAATCGATTAATAATGCTAAAAAATCTCAGGAGGAGGCACGTTCTACACGTTTAGAGTTGCAGGAGACGATTTCAAAAATGCAAGCCGACTATGACAACAAGTTGGAAAATTTACGAGCCAACTACGATGACAAGTTGGAAAATTTACGAGCCAACTACGATGACAAGTTGGAAAATTTGCAACAATAGGTGGCTATGCTAATGCAGATGCAACAACAAAATTGTAGTGGACAGGTATATTTATTATTAGTTTTACTCTTTACTAAATATATGTTTACTTTTCTTTAAATGCTCCTCCTAGAGTATCCCCAAATCCATTTTCTAGTCGTGATGCCAATTCAGTTAAGATTATGAACTTTTAATTTCTCTTATATATATGTTAAATTTTTATTTATTATAATGTGCGCTTAATGAATTTATAAAAAATGTAGGGTAATTCAAATCAAATGGGCAAGAAGACTTGTTGAAGTTGAAGTTGAAGATGGGGTCGTGGCTGTGCTTTTTGAATTTCCTTCGCCTTGTTCTTTTTGAAAAACTTGTACTACGTTTGTTAAAAATTCTTAATTCTTTTTGTGTGACATTTAGTACCTTTATCTAGACAATTTGGATGGTATTTTCATATTGGCAGGTTAACTTGTGGTTGTATTAGTATACATTTTTTACTAGCTTAACTTGTGGTGGTATTAGTAGTCAATTTTGATGGTATTTTTCATATTGGCAGGGTTAACTTGTGGTTATTTGTAAAAACAATTTGGATGGTATTTTTATATTGACTTGTGTTAGGATGCATTTAGTAGCCGTGAAGAAATTTTTCTCCAAAAACAATAATGGGGAAAAAAAAAAATTTAAATAACCCTTTACCAGCGCTTTTCCAAAAAGCGTTGGCATAGGGGGGAAAAAAATATAAAAAAAAAAATTTCAAATAATCCTTTACCAGCGCTTTCCCAAAAGGCGCTGGCATAGGGGAAAAAAAAATATAATTTTTTTTTTTTTTTTTTCAAATAATCATTTTCCAGCGCTTTTTCAAAAAGCGTTGGCATAGGGGGAAAAAAAATAAAAAAAAAAAAAAAAATTAAAATAACCCTTTACCAGCGCTTTTTAAAAAAGCGCTGGTAAAGACCTTATGCCAGTGCTTTTAGAAAAACACTGGTAAAGGCTCTTTACTAGCGCTTCTCCAAAAGCGCTGGTAAAGGCTTACCGACACTGGATTTATAATTGAATTACCAGCGCTTTTTAAGGCTTTTACCAGCGCTTTTGAGCACTGGTAAAAACCAAAACTGTTGTAGTGAAATCAACTCATTAATTTTTGACGCCGCTTGCTCGAGCTTCAGGGTAAAGGCTCGAGCACCCTTGGTTAAGGCTCGAGCACCCTTGTAGTAAGGCTCGAGGATCAAGGTACTGATGCTCGAGCATTTGGGCCTTGTTGACTTTTCTTCTTTTCTTTGTTGTGATGCTCAAGCCTCAACACTTGGACTCGAGCTCTAAGGCTTGAATTGCTTCAAACTTCACCAATTTAGCTCTCAGCTTGCTCTGATTGTCTGGTAACAACTCTGTAAGCTTCGATATCATCATAAAGTCTCGGTTTTAATCATTTATCTAAGAAAGTACCTACAAACACACATTAAACATAAATTAGTCTAATAATGGATAGAAGTATTACTTTAGGCCCTAACATATATGTATTTAGGGGCTCGAATATGCGTATATTCAGTGCTCATCACCTACAACATAAGTTTCTCCTTCGTGTATTATAATGCCCAACATTAATGCACATCAATATGAAATCAAATCCAATATTTTCCATGTGCTTCCATCATTCCATGGATTTGACAATGAAGATCCTTATAAACATCTTAATGAGTTTCTTGAAATCTGCTCTACCATCACGATGAGAGACTTCCCTTAAAATGCTCTTCACATGCGTGTCTTACCATTTTACTTGAAAGAGAGAGCAAAGTATTGGTTAAACTCTTTGGTTGCAAATTCCATCATTTTATGGGGTCAATTACAACAAGAATTTCTGAAAAAATATTACCCTATTGGAAAAACCAACTAAATGCGATGTTCAATTCTAAGTTTCTCCCAAATAGATGGAAAGCAATTTTCTGAGACTTGGAAAAGACTCCAAGAACTTCTTAGGAAGTGTCTGCACCACTAAATCTCAAAATGGCAATTGGTGCAAGGTTTCTATAATGGCTTAAGTCAGCCACATAGACAAATGATTGAGTACTCTTCTTGTGGTGGTATGTTCATGTCCAAGAATGAAGATGAGGCTTGGACCTTACTTGAGAATTTGAGCGAAAACTTATTGCAACATAATTCTTGTAGGGCTTCTACCTCTAACATTGGAAAGATTACTAACCCTTGTCAACTAAGGACATTAAGGGAAGAATCTTCATAACTGATGCCATAGCCCACAAATTCTTTCAATTAATTGCACCCCATCTCTCCTCTTCTCTATCTTTGAATACATCTTCAAGTTCAGTATGTGCTTCATGCACTATCACTTTTCATCTTTCTGAAGATTACCCTTCACCGGAGCAATTTTCTAGTGATAATCAAGAACAAGCGAATGTTATGTTCTCTCATCCAGGGAATAATCCATATTCCAATACATACAATCCGGGATGGAGAGATCATCCAAATTTTTTGTGGAGGCAACCAGCCCCATAAAATTCGGCATTCCAAAATTAGGGCAGTAAAATCAGCCCACTTCTCAGCCCATAAACCAGCAATTTCATGCTACCGGCTTCCATTCAACAATAATCCATCTGCTGTGAATCCTCCTCCTTTATCAAATTCTGCTTTGGAGAAAAAAATAGAGGATTCGAATAGTCAAATCTTGTCTACTATTAGAGGAATGCAATCATCACTCCAAACCACAGTGCAATTAGTTCATTTGCACTCTCAATCAATATAAAAAATTCTAACTCAAATTGGATAATTGGCCAACACCGTGAATCAACTTCAAAGGGACACAAGAAAGCTTCCTGCTCAAACCGTGGTAAATCCAAGAGGACAATATGTGATTGATGAAATCTATTCTCCGAGTGGACCTACTCAAGAACATGTTCAAACAATCACCATGCTCAGAAGTGGACGGATTGTTGATAACAAGGTTGATGGAAGAAATGATGAAGAAGTTCTTCCTCCCAAAAATCCAAATGTCACTTCCAAAAATCCAAATTCCAGCCCAGAAAATTCCAATCTTCCAACCCCAAATGTGGAGACATATTTTGAGCCTAAATCTCCTTATTCTCAACGTCTCAAAGAGTCTACACATTGTGGGAACAAGAGCAAAAAAATTTAGGACATATTGGAGGTCTTTAAACAAGTAAAGATCAACCTCCCTCTCCTAGATGGTATTAAGCAAATCCCTCCCTATGCCAAATTTCTCAAGGATTTGTGTACCCAAAAACGCATGTCCAAGAGTCATACTTCAAAGAAGGTGAGGTTAACTGAGCAAGTAAGTATTATCATTCATTATAACACTCCCCCAAAGTATAAGGATCCGGGTGCCTCGACAATCTCGTGTGTCATTGGAGATAACGAGATAGAAAAGGCCCTCTTTGACTTGGGAGCGAGTGTAAATCTGATTCCTTACTCAGTTACCTACAACTTGGATTGGGAGAGCTTAAACCAACCACCGTGGTTTTGCAACTTGCAGACAGATCAGTCAAGCAACCATGGGGCATCCTTGAGGATGTGATCATAAAAGTGGACAAGTTCAACTTCCCGGTAGACTTCTTGGTTCTTAATACAGAACTAGTCCCTGATCTAACACATTCCTGCGATCCTTGGTAGGCCTTTCTTAGCTACGGCTTGCCGAACTGGGGTGATGGATATCTCTTTTGGAAACATGTAAGTAAAACTCAACATCTTCCATGCTACTTAACATCCTCCGGATGAGGATGAATGTTTCCTTCTTGATGTGATAGATGAAATGGTTGAAGAGTCTCTCCCCTTCATTCTAAGCAAAGACCCTCTTAAGGCATGTATGGCTCACTTTGACTTTGAAATCTTTGATATTGTTTAATCTATTCAAGAAGTCAATTCTTTGCTTGAAGCCAATGCTATCATGGACTTTCCCTCTTGATAAGTACCAAAAAAACCTCTTCCTCAAATTTCCAGCACTCCTCCTATTACTTCACTAATATCTCCACCCCAACTTGAGTTAAAGTGACTTTCGGCCAATTTTAAGTATGTTTTTCTCGGTTCAAACAAAACTCTTCCGGTCATTATTGCATCGGACCTCACATAAGACCAAGAAAACAGCCTCTTAGCTGTGCTACAAAAGCATAAAGAAACTATTGGCTGGGCAGTGGCTGATTTAACAGGGATTGACCACTCTATTTGTATGCACTGCATTCATTTAGAGGATACGCTAAAACTTCCTGCAAAAGGCAGTGCCGGTTAAACCCAAACATGAAAGAGGTGGTGCTTAAGGAAGTCATTAAGCTATTAGATGCGGGAATCATTTACCCCATCTCCGATAGCAAGTGGGTTAGCCCCACACAAGTGGTTCCAACGAAATTCAGACTCACCGTTGTTGAAAATTCAGTGGGAGAACTCGTACCACAATGCACCACCACCGGGTGGCGTGCGTGCATTGACTACCAAAAGTTGAACTTTGCCACTAGGAAAGATCATTTTCCACTCCCTGTCATTGATCAAATCCTAGAATGGCTAGCCGGCCAAAACTTCTATTGTTTCCTTAACGGTTATTCCTGCTATAACTAAGTGGCTATTGATCCCCATGATCAAGAGAAGACCACATTCATATGTTCTTTCGGTACCTTTATGTATAGACGCATGCCCTTTAGGTTTTGCAATGCATTGGCTACTTTTTAATTGTGTATGATGTCTATCTTTTTGACATGGTGGAAAATTTTTTGGAGGTATTCATGGATGATTTTTCTATCTTTGGATCCTCATTCCAAAGTTGTCTCCATAATCTCTCTCATGTACTTCAAAGATGCAAGGAGACAAATCTCATCCTAAGTTGGGAAAAGAGCCATTTCATAGTTTGTGAAGGCATTGTCCTAGGCCATATTGTCTCCGCAAGGGACATTGAAGTGGACAAAGTAAAGGTTGAATTAATCTCTAATCTTCAACCTCCAAACTCGGTGAAGCAAATTCGATCTTGTCTTGGCCATCCTAATTTCTACTGGAGTTGCATCAAAGACTTTAGCAAGATTGCTTGACCTCTATGCCAACTTCTTGCCAAAGACACTCCATTTCTATTTAATGAAACTTGCCTAAAGGCCTTTGAAAAACTCCGATCCCTCCTTTCATCTGCCCCAATCATGAAACCACCCGATTAATCTTTTCCCTTTGAGATCATGTGTGATGCATCCGACAATGCATTGGGTGCAGTTTTGGGCCAGTGTGTGGATAAAATCCCATATGCCATTTACTATGCTAGCAAAATCTTGTCAGAAGCTCAATTGAACTATACGACAATTGAAAAAGAGTTACTAGCTGTCGTCTATGACTTAGATAAATTTCGATCCTATCTTGTTAGATCCAAGGTCATCATTTTCTCGGACCATGCTGCCTTGAGGCACTTGTTGGCCAAAAAGGAAACCAAACCTAAACTAATTCGTTGGATACTATTACTCTAAGAGTTTAATTATGAAATTCGGGAGAAAAAAGGAACTGGAAATGTTGCTACTGACCACCTTTCCCATATTCTTGTTGAGGTTTCTTCTGATTTCATTCCGGTTCATGACTCATTCCCGGATGAACAAATCTTTCAAGTATCCCATGAAAAACTTCCTTGGTATACCGATATCGTTAACTACTTTGTTGTAGGTAAAATTCCTACCAACTAATCTAAATAAGAGAAAGACCGGTTCTTCTCCAAATCAAAATTTTCTTTTGGGAAGATCCGGAGTTGTTCAAATATTGCCCGGAACAAATCATCCAGAGATGCATTCCTAAAAATGATTTCCAAAGTGTCCTCAAATTTTGCCACTCTAGCATGTAGAGGACATT